TGACTCAAAAGTAAATTTTGTACATATTTTACACAGCATTATTAATATTATTTTGGAGATTGCAGGACGTATTAAGTTACTTAAAAATGAAAAATAATTATATCATTTGATTCTAAGATTTATTTTATACCTTAAAAATAATTAATTATATTCCGGGACCGGGAAATGAGAACCCTAGTCCATGCATACAATTTCGTTTCTTATAACTTTCAGTGTCTTCTAGGCGGAATCATTGTAAGTGACCGTTTTAAAATGTAACTTAATTATTACACAATGGCAGGAGTATCTTCAAAATATCAATATAAACGAAAAAAATGCGAAGAAAATAGTGTTTGAAGCAGTGGCNATAAATTTGATTAATTTGTTTAATATTGTAAAAATTAAAATAAATTGCATTAATGTATAGTATTACTCGAAGAAGATATATCATTAAAAGTGCCTAATTTTGTGAAATTTTTGGATGAAAATTCATTAAAATGGAATGGATTTTTATAAACTTTTAAGGAAACTGCTAGAATATAAATAATTCTATGGACATGTTAGAAGCACAGTTAGAAGCACAGCACAGTTTAAATAATTTTATATACAATATCAGAGGATAACCTACTAAACTGAAATATGTAAACTTAACAATTGGCATTTATTTTATAAAAATAAAAATCTCTACAATTATATAAAATTTATCAGAAAAAAATATATTATAGTAGCAAAACTACTTTTTATATGATAATCAGAGGTAAACCACTAAAATTCTATTTAAAAAGTTACCAAAATTTAATTGATTACCGTAGAAAACACCAGAGAGGAAAACATTAAATTAAATTAATTTCTATGAGAGGTAGGGGAAAAACTACTTATTCTATGGAAATATTAGGGAAAAAGCTACTAAAATTAAACTAGTTCTACAGAAAAAGTACCAGAGGGGGGTAAATTAGACTAATTTACATATTAAAAAAAACAATCACGGAAATTTCAGAAGTTAATTAATCAATTTAAATTTTATTTAATAATTTATTTTATAATTTCGTGATGAAAATGATAATAATAAAGATAATTTCAGACATTTTTTTTCCAGTTCGTAACATATATAATTTCATACGTGTGTAATGAAAAAATAATGTACAGCTCACACCCAGTTTGTGGACATTTTGCCAATATTTTTGTTATTTTTATCGAATTTTTTGCAATTAAATCCATCTTTAGAATATTATTTTAATCAGTTTAAACTTAAAAAAATTAATTTTTTCTACAAAATTTTATAATAATCAGTTAACGGCTAGATGATCCCAATTAAGTGAGCAAAGCGTCAAAATTAACGTATTTTTACGTGTTTGACTGTAAATAATGCATTTACTTTACATTCTTAGGATTATTTCTTATAGTTTTAGTATTATATAATTATATTTTAATAAATAATTTTAATATTAAAATGCTATATCATCGTATAGATTTTGTGTGGTTAAATAGTAGTACATAATTTTTAATTTGTATAATAATATTTGGCCTTAGGCCAGATAGTACATTTCTGAAAGTGAAAAATTATTTTTTTTTTCTTTAAATATAAAAATTAAAAATTTTTTTTTCAAAATGACTTTCAGACAAATTAGCTAAAATATTTTATTTGTTTTTAAATTATTGCATTAGTAACATCACCAATTTTATATAAATTAAGCAAATTAGACTTTATATAAATTAGAAATAAATGTTTAACGCTTTTATTGAATTAAGAAATGGAATTTTTTGTGTTTTTATCCCATAAAATTAGATTTTTCGCCGGTGTAAGTGTATAAAATTTACAGAGGAAAGTGCTGTGTGTGTGTATGTAACGAAGTGAAAATTAGAGTAATTTGCAGTTCAAGTTTAATTGCTTTATATTCATTCAGTTTAATTAAAGTATTTAAAGTGAATGAATCGTATGAACGCGGAAAGTTATTCAAAAGATATTCGCGAGTTTACTTCACTCCGAGCGCGTTGTTTTGGACAATGAAAAATCCCCAAAACTTAATTTCAGGTAGGGACAATTTGTTAAATCATATCGTCTCAATCTTTTTATTATTTTTATAGAGAAAATATAATACGGTATGGATAGCAACAGCATGAAAAATAATGCAGCGTAGAAATAGTAATAAGGATAAGAATTTAGTATAGAATGTGAAAAGAATGTAGCATAGAAGTTGTATACAGTAGAAAGTAATGTAGCATTAAAGTTATATAGCATAGAAAACAATGTAGAATAGAAAACGACAGCAAAGAAAGTGATAGCATAGAAAGTAATGCAGCATACAAAATGATATCATAGAAAGTGTTAGCGTAGAAATAAATGCAACATAGAGTGATAACAGAAAGTAAAGTGTTTGCATGAAAAATAACGTAGCACAGAAAGCAATATTAATTAATAATATTAATTAATATTGCTTTATATTAATTAAAGCGTTACAACAAAAATCGTTCAACATAAAAAATAAAAAGTAACANCATTCAAAATACCGAGCATTATTGTAATAGATTATTTATCTACCAATAAGAAAAATAATCTTTAACAACAATGAACAGTTTCTTGAACTGTCTAGATTCTAGAGCAAAATATTCAGTTATTAAAATAAATTCTCGCTTTCTATAATGTTGAGAAGCATTCTAGAAACGTTCTAGATATTAAAGTTGTTTAGATTAATTATAATAGATATCAAATTATAATTTTTTTCTATAATAATAACATATTTATTTTAAGAATTTTATATAATAGTGTTCTATTTTTGATTTTATAATTGAAATTAACATTTAAAAAATTTCTTCTTACCTGTATACAATTTAAAATTCAAAATTATAGATTTTTCAGCTCCTCTGTGTCATTCAAAATTAAATCTCCACAGTTACCTTCTAGTTTCTCCTGTACTTGAATTCGGATCCAGTCTAAAATCTCGTAATTTTATGTAAACATAACACACTTGTAAGACCACTTTAGTACAATTTTAGTATAATTTTTCGATGATTTTGCCGCAAGAATATAATTTTATTTATTTATATATGTATATATCGACTGAGCGATATATCCTTATATAGAATTTTATGAATTATTTATACAGAAGACTGCTACTGTGTACACTTATAAATCTGAAAGTTGCTGATATGCTATCTCTATAATCGTAAAACACGAAGCTACTGCTTGTAAACTGTATTAATAAGTCAATAAAATGTTTTAAATTTCTACCCGCAATCCATATACCATCCAATCCATGGACCATCTAAGTAAATCTAAATGTTTTGTCATAAAAATAAAAAAAAATAAAAAAAATTATAACAGTATATCACAGATAGACATACAGACAGACACAATTAGGTTTTGGTTGCCTACGTTTGGCACGAAGTTAAAAAGAATTAGAAAAATCTAACATATTTTTATACTTTCGAGAAGAAACTTTACTGAAATTTCTAAAACACTGTTTGAAAATTAACATTTCTTTAATAAATTACAAAATTATTCTACTTTAAGACACGTAATTGAAGAGATATTGCAATATATTAGTTGCAACAGTGGTTAATGTTTGTAATGTTTTTAAAATTTTCCATATTTTAGAAACTGATAATTTATTATAGGTTAGCGGATGTTTACTTTATTCTAGAACCTTTAAAAACGCTTTCGTTGTTATAAAATATACACATTTTACTGTAGAACATTCGAGAATTGTCGTTGTAAAAGATGTATATTTTGCTTCAAGATATTCGAGAACTGTCTATTGTTGAAAAAGACGTAGGCCTATATTTCATTCCAGAAATGTTCAATTTTTCACTGTTAAAAGGACGTATATTTCACTCTAGAATATTCAATTTTCCATTGTTGGAAAAGACATCTGTTTCACTCTGAAATATTCAAAGTTTCATTGTTGTAATAGATGTATATTTTACTCTAGAACATTTTATCCATTGTTATAAACAATGTTGTGCTTGGTTTTTCAGATTTTTACTGGTTTGTTTTTGGCTCTGCATTACACAGCAGATAGTATTTCTATCTGCTCTAGTATCTAGTCTCTAGTATTTCTCATATTTGTCGAGATGTAGAAGAAGGGTGGATTTTGCGGAATCTTTATCTTATTGGGCCTAGAGTGTTTTTGTTTGTCTTTTCCAAAGAATAATAGGATCAATAAAAAGAGGTATTAAAATTACAATAATACTTCAGTCAATAATATAGTAATAGCCCGGACAACACGGGAAGAGACAATAAAAACAGAACAGCAGTAACCATTACAGATCAAACATAAAGGGAGACGATCTAGCCCCCAATGCCTCTTCTCCGCATATTAATAATAGTAGTAATAAAATTAATAGCACCCAAAATAGAAAAAACACCAGGCATGTGATGTTTTTTGTAGTTAAAAAGCTTCCATTTATATTAAGACAATACGTAGCAATTGTAACAAAACAATTTATCATTCATAAGATTTTCTAGGAATAAGATTTAATGTTTAAATCATATACCTAGAACTAGGCTATAATTGACACACATCTGTAAATATTTATGCTATTATAAAATAATTTTAATTGTGGAATTCAGTTTTGTCTATGTGACTCGACCAGACATCGATGGACCNTAGTTATTTTTTTATTGTAGATAATAATCTAAACAGATATTTTTAAAAATTCTATTTTAGATTTTTTAAAGAATTTTTGAAAAAATAAAAAAATGTCGTTTCTTCTATCTGGAATTGCTAGCATCACGCTATGGATGACGACGTGGATCTTGTCGTTCGTCGAATGTTTGTTACACTATTTTGTTATAATTCTTGTGGATTCGGCAGAGAAACCGTATCAATTGATCCTTTTACTCTTCTTGCTAATAATTATTTACTATTCTTCAGTTAATTACGATAAAACTGTGGTAAGTGGTCTTTCAAAAACACATTCCTTGCTTATCTTTTATTATTCTTTAGTTATCGGTGCTGCAATGCGATTTCTTCTTTACTTGCTTCTTTCTGCTGATTAAGCAAATTCTTTTAACCTAAATTATTTTCTACCTTTTTCTACAGGATATGACAGAGATAGGTTACGATTATTTACGTCCTAAAGCCAGGAAACGACGTCAGAAATTATCTTTGCTGGTACGAGAAGTTAACGAAACCAGAGATCCTGGTGAACTCCCTCCTGTATATCCTAATGGTTGGATACCTTTAATGGAATCTAGGGATCTTCAAATTGGAAAATCTGCACCTGTAACTGCCTTAGGTAATAGTGAAAATTATTTTTTTAAAAATTAAATTATTATCCTCTCATTCCGTCGCGTCTAGTTGCGTTGTTCGTGTCGCGTCATTGATAAATATGTCACTGAGAGACCTTACTCGATGTTCTTTACTAATAAAGTGTAAAAATTTTTGTAATTAATGTCGAAAAAATTGTAAATCGCGAAAGAATTTGGCCTGTCGAAAGAGTAGTTTGTAATTCAATACTTACACTTCCCTATACATTGCAAAAATTTTTTATTATTTTGTAAATTTAAATTTCTAAAATGGTTCATAAAGCACAGCTAATGAAGTCGGAGGAAATATGACTTAATGGAATAATAATGTTTCAACTTACGGTTTTGGTATCGATTCATTTCGAACAATTATATAAATAAATTAATTTTTATATGTATATTAAATTATTAATTTTTTATAATAATATATTTAAAACTATACAGCTACAGAAGAAACCACATATAGACACAATTAGGGATCATTTCAGAAACTAGTTAAATAATTTCGAGAACGTTCTAGATATTAAAGTTGTTTAGATTAATTA